ACGGCGACATCCACGCAGCAAAAGACACGAGGTTTTGCAGCTTCCCCTATAGACACGGCGACAGCCACGCAGCAAAAGACACGAGGTGTTGCAACTTCCCCTATAGACACGGCGACATCAACACAGCAAAAGACACGAGGTTTTGCAGCTTCCCCTATAGACACGGCGACATCCACGTAGCAAAAGACACGAGGTTTTGGAGCTTCCTCTATAGACACGGCGACATCCACACAGCAAAAGACACGAGGTTTTGCAGCTTCCCCTATAGACACGGCGACATCCACGTAGCAAAAGACACGAGGTTTTGCAGCTTCCCCTATAGACATGGCGACATCTACGTAGCACAAAACGCGAGGTTTTGCAGCTTCCCGTATAGACACGGCGACATCCACGTAGCAAAAGACACGAGGTTCTGGAGCTTCCCCTATAGACACGGCGACATCCACGTAGCAAAACACACGAGGCTTTGCAGCTTCCCCTATAGACACGGCGACATCCACACAGCAAAAGACACGAGGTTTTGCAGCTTCCCCTATAGACACGGCGACATCCACGTAGCAAAAGACACGAAGTTTTGCAGCTTCCCCTATAGACACGGCGACATCCACGCAACAAAAGACACGAGGTTTTGCAGCTTCCCCTATAGACACGGCGACATCCACGTAGCAAAAGACACGAGGCGTTGCAGCTTCCCCTATAGACACGGCGACATCCACGTAGCAAAAGACACGAGGTGTTGCAGCTTCCCCTATAGACACGGCGACATCCACGTAGCAAAAGACACGAGGTTTTGCAGCTTCCCCTATAGACACGGCGACATCCACACAGCAAAAGACACGAGGTTTTGCAGCTTCCCCTATAGACACGGCGACATCCACGGAGCAAAAGACACGAGGTTTTGCAGCTTCCCCTATAGACACGGCGACATCCACGCAGCAAAAGACACGAGGTTTTGCAGCTTCCCCTATAGACACGGCGACATCCACGCAGCAAAAGACACGAGCTTCCCCTATGACACTGCAACTTCCCCTATAGACACGGCGACAGCCACGCAGCAAAAGACACGAGGTTTTGCAGCTTCCCCTACACAGACACGATTTTGCAGCTTCGACACCTATACGTAGCAAAAAACACGAGGTAAGCTTCCCTATAGACACTGCGACATCTACGCAGCAAAAAACACGAGGTTTTGCAGCTTCCCTTATAGACACTGCGACAGCTACGTAACAAAACACGCGAGGTATTGCAGCTTCCCCTATAGACAGTGCGACAACTACGTAGCAAAAGACACGAGGTTTTGTAGCTTCCCCTATAGACACTGCGACATCTACGTAGCAAAAAACACGAGGATTTGCAGCTTCCCCTATAGACACTGCTACATCTACGTCGCAAAAAACACGAGGTTTTGCAGCTTCCCCTATAGACACTGCGACATCTAGTAGGTTTTGCAGCTAAGAACTGCGACATCACGACGTTTTGCAGCTTCCCCTATCCGACATCTACGTACAAAAAACACGAGAGCTTCCCCTATAGACACGGCGACATCCACGTAGCAAAAGAAACGAGGTTTTGCAGCTTCCCCTATAGACACGGCGACATCCACGTAGCAAAAGACACGAGTTTTTGCAGCTTCCCCTATAGACACGGCGACATCCACGTAGCAAAAGACATGAGGTTTTGCAGCTTCCCCTATAGACACGGCGACATCCACGTAGCAAAAGACACGAGGTTTTGCAGCTTCCCCTAAAGACACGGCGACATCCACGTAACAAAAGACACGAGTTTTTGCAGCTTCCCCTATAGACACGGCGACATCCACGTAGCAAAAGACACGAAGTTCTGCAGCTTCCCGTATAGACACGGCGACATCCACGTAGCAAAAGACACGAGGTTTTGCAGCTTCCCCTATAGACACGGCGACATCCACGTAACAAAAGACACGAGGTTTTGCAGCTTCCCCTATAGACACGGCGACATCCACGTAGCAAAAGAGACGAGGTTTTGGAGCTTCCCCTATAGACACCGAATTAACGTCGCGCAAAACGTCGCGAAAAAGGGCGCGAAAACGTGGCGCCGAGCAACTGGAGGCGAACAAGGGTCCAACCCCCAGACCCCCAACTATAAACGGGAACCCTTCGCTACGCATTCGGGAAAATCCAAAACCTGAGGCAAAAAAACATCCAAAATCTATTCTACACCTGTTAAAAAGTCCTCACATCAATCCTTTGATTCGAGGAATAACTAGAAACTTGAGGAAGAAGGGGCTCCAGCCCACTTACTTATCCATATAACTACATATATATATATAATTACATCTTTATATATATATATTGTGTCAACCCCAAACCATAAACCACACTAGTAACAATAGAACAATAGACCATTTGGAACATTTTGAAAGCACCGTCAAAGATATTGGGGTTTATGCTGATCCCCTCACATCCTCGATGTGCCGAGGCCTTGCTACGCCGACGGGTCGCGGGCTGGCAGCTAGTGGGCCGTAGGCCGCCGTGGCCGAGTTACCCTCAAGAATGGGTCGAAGACTCAAAATTATGAACATATAATGGGATATATATAGTTATATATATATATATATATAACCATCATGATGATTTGGGCATGTTGAAAAATGTGGGGATGGGACATGATTTTCCAAACCATGGGATTCTTGGAGGATGATGTTCTTTCCCTCGCCTTTCGGCGTGCGAGGTCATGATCCAAACAATTTTTCCAAACTGGCACGCTATTACACCTAGGAAACTTTCTGCAAATGGTCGCAAAAATAAGTGTTTATCATGGTCACTATCCCTTAGATCGCTTCATGTGTTAGTTTGACATGTAGTACAGCGGGCAATCGATGTTGTGAACTTTTCTTCTGATGGGTGGACCACCATCCCTCTCAGTAAATGCTCCAGACCTAATGTCACCGATATATATATATATATACTGTAGCCGTATTATATATATATAATGCCTGCAATGTCTATCGCGCATTCATGAACACAAACTGATGAACTAGGGGGTGCTCCCAAAATGTGATTTCATTAGTAAAATCGAACTCTCCCAATATCACCAAGAAGTGATTTATGAGGCCAGTGTCGACATGGCTGGATTGACTCCTTGACCCACCAGCAACTTGCCATGTCAAGTGTAAATCCTCTTAGGGACCTAATTTTTGAGATTTCATGTCAAATTGCCGGGTTTTAAAATTGTGAAATGGATAAGATATTACTATATATCATATATTCCTTAATTATATAAGTGCAACAGCTATTACCATACCTCGTTTGAAGCCACTGCTTTCGAGAAAAAAAACTCATTTCCTTGGGGGATCTCCAGGTTGAACCTGGAGCCAGGGCCTTGCGGATGGGAGATGTTGCCCTTCTGCCTTGAACCGGGCCTGGAAGCTTGCGTCCTGTGCGCCCAGAGGTTTTTTGAGGGCTTAGTTGGACAATCCATATGGGAAGTGGCTAAAAGTTTGGTTCAGGAGTTCAGATCTAGAAGACCTGTCATGGAAGGGTTGGAAGATGATCTAATGGCGTGGGATGTGGCCGAAAGCTATGATTGGAAGCCTTGAATGGTCATTCAGGAGAGGTGTAGTTAGAGGCCTTGGAAACCGTGGCCACTAGTTTTGAAGTAGCCTTCCTCGCTTTATATCCGAATTGATGTCTCCATTTCATATCAACCCCTTAGGTACACTTATTTTTGCATCAAAATAGCCGGTATGCATGGTCAACTCCCGAATTTGGCACATAGCTTTTGGCCCATCCATGTCCTTTTCCCATTATAATCCCAGAAACGGCTCAAGGGACAATATTTAGGATCCCAAGGAATTGATGGTCATTTCACCATGTCCTGTAGATTTTCACAAAACCAGTCTCCAATTCCCTTCAACTGGAGAAAAATAGGCGCAGAAGGTACAAAGATGGCAAGTGGTTGGCCTTCAACCGCAGTTGCCCACATGCTGGCATCGATTTGCTGGTGGGCGGTGACATTGAGGACCGCCTTTTTTTTTTTCCGTGGGAGCCCCCCTTTGGGTTGGTCAAGTCCCGAAGGGCCCTAAGACAAGAAAGTGGCAGTTGACTAAGGCCATTCTTGTAAATGGACTGGAATGCACCAACACAGAGCTCATGGACCTAGAAGGGGTTGGACAGAACATTCATTTCAGTTTGGCATCTCGAACTTGCATGACATTCAAGTCATGACATGAATCTGGTTTAGTGGTGAACAGATGCTTTGTTGCAAATTGCATGTGTTTATCGTTTCCATTGAACATATGACATCTAAGCTTAATCCAAACTACAAACTCACAACACACACTTATTCCTCCGTAACATGTTCGCCTTGAATGTTTTGTTCCTGCACCAGCTGATCTTGCCGCCGAAACGTGAGGACCTTTCGGAACTGAATGCGGGAGTCATCCCAGCGATTGAAAGACGGCAGCAGAAATTCCCAGAGTCATTGGCAAATTTCACTGTGAGATTACTGTGAGATTGGGCTACGACAAGAGATTTGACGACATATTTCTTCTCGGGTTTTGTTGGGACTTGAGGATCACTGCAAAAGCTGTGAAGGGTACAGTACCATCTTTGCCAGACACAGCCAGCGGAACCAGGTGATTTTTGTTTGTTTGAAACAGGGTACCCCAAATCCCCATGGTTTGGAAAATCCTTTCCCCTATGGCCATGATCATGGCCATGATCTACCACATTTTCAGCCAGGTAGTGGTGGGATGCCCTGCTCACACGTATCTCTTCGACCCCGTAGTTGGTACTTGCCTTTGGGACCGGGGCGGGAGCAGAAATTCCGAGTTTGATGTGTTTGATCCCCGGTATCCAACAGCTTCAACAACCTCAGTTGGTTGATGCTTACAGGGTGTACAGTATCGCAACAGAGTCCAGCATGGGAATCCCCATGGAATCCAACTTTTGGGACGGGATTTTTAGATTTTTGATGCAGAATAACATGAATAACACACTCTGAGTTTGGCTGGCTCCAAGGACATGCATGATTTCATGGATGTGCTGTACAGTACGTATGTAAAATTACACGTGGATACTTTGTGTTAGGAGGTCAAACTATTTGACGACTGCTTATTTTGTTTGAAGACACCAAAGTTGGCGATGCCTCGCTAGAAGGTTGACCAGCAAAGTGGATAAATCTTTGCGCCAGGCGGATAAAAATCTGCGACGTTTTTATGGTATCCCAAAATCTCATGTCCCATCAAAATCGTGAGCTGGATGACCATCCACCATTGTTGGACCCAAAACAAGTCCTCGCAAAAATGCCTGCGGGTCTCGCGCAAGTGCCTAAGAACGCCTGTTCTTTCAGTCAGCAAGTGCAGAAGTACCGGAATCATGTCAAGCTTGCCCCAGTAAAAGAGTAAAAGACAAATAGAACACATCTAAGAGGTCGGAGCACAAACATCTTGTCATTGCACATTTTCATATCAATACAGAATAGTATCACGGTTTTTTAAAGCAGGACCTCATGTCATTGCACACTTATATCAATACAGAATAGTATAATAACTTTCTGAAGCAGGTTGTGACTGTATAGAGAAGCAGAAGAGGGCGCTTGCCCCCATCATGTCCCCCTAACCCACCCCGGGTTCCATGTTCCATGTCCCCAAGTCAAACCCTAAAAGGTTGTGACTGTATAGAGAGGTACAAGAGGGTTGTTGCGCCCATGTCCCCCGTAACCCACCCCAGGTCCGAGGTCCTCTTGTCCCCAAGTCAAACCCTAAAGGCTTGTGGCTGTATGGTCAGACCCATGTTCACCTACGCAGGTGAGACACTTTGACCGGTGCAAGTGAGATTCCATCCTATATTTTCAATTCCATCCATTTTTATTCCTATGAATTCCGTAGTTCAACAGTTAAACATCACCATTTTTGGGTAGATCCTCCTTTTTTTGGACAACCCCAGCTTAGCTCCGTGGAGGAAGACCATGGGGCCATAGTTTTTTTTAAATCCTGGCAGGACGCTTCCCGCGGCCTTCCAGAAACACCACCGCTGCAGACCTATGAGGTGCTAATAAAAACAGTACGTCCACCCCCTAAATTCACATGGAAACCAAAAATGGCCAAAGGAAACTAATCTTCCAGCTGCACCTTTGGGGGTTGCATGATGAATTTTGGGGTACACTATATAAGCCTAAAATGAAGGTTGGCAAGGGGAAGAAGCCAAACATGACGGAAATTCAGCTTTGTGAATCATTTAAATTCAGCCAGATACTTGGACAATTTTTGGTGACTATCTCTCTTGGTGAGTGATTACCAACCATAGTGAGATATAGAAGATGTAGTGAGATATAGCCAGGTAAGCGAGGTATAGTGATCAAGTTCCCTTGCAATGTCTGATACTGTATCTTGTCACTGGATCAGCATGGTTCCTACCCAGTGACTGGGAGAGGTATGGTGATTTTGTGGTGTGTATCTTTGACCTATCCCGGGGCCTACACCATCAGTCTGCTTGAGGTTGCCACCCAAGAATGCCCTCAGTTCCACCAGGGGCTACTCCAGGATCGACTTTATCCCCAAAACTCCATGATTTTTGACCAGGAAAACCCACAGAACCCAGCACTTGGACCGCAAAGATTTGATTTGGAAGCCGCAACGATGGCACACTAAAAATCCCACCTGGTATTCAACCTTGACTCATACCCTCCTGTCCCTTTGCTTTCCAAGAACTGAATTCAGGTGAGTGAACGGTGTGGTCAGATTTGGGTCCGGAGACCCATTGCTCCAAAGCTGTAGCTCTGAGGAAGCTCCTGTAGATGATACTCCAAGGTGAAACCAAGACCCCTGCCGAAACCGGTTGCCAAAGAGGACTGGGATCAGGCGGCACCTGTGAGGCCTGTGAGGCTGTTGTCACATGGGTTATGAAGTCCATCTGCTATGATGGGATCCAGGTATAACATGCGGTTGGGTCTATTCCTACCTATTATTTTTTTGATAGTTTTTACATGTTTTTACTGGTACTGTTCCGAAAGTGGGCAACAATTCTTGTTCATGCTACAGCTGATTATCCCTGCATGGAAATTGGTTTTCCATGGCTAAACCAGCTGCCGAGTTTGGGCGGGCTAAGTCTCAACATGGTGTGGAGGTGGCTCAGTTTGTTGGCCGCCATGGAAAATAAACACGGCCGGAAAGTCACTAAAATTTGTAGATTATATTCACCTGTGCTTAAAATTTAGATTTTTCATGATTTTGGCCCATTTACCAAAGGTTGCTACTTGAGACCGGGTTCCACTGGGTTCATGCTTCATCCTCCCAGGCCCGCGCCGATGCTTTGCAACTCGCGTTGGTGGATAAAGCGTCGTGATGCCCAGCTGATCAACGGCGGAATGGTCAACCCCTTTTTATTTTGTGTCTCCACATTTCTGATAGTAACATCATGTACCCTCTGGTAATGACTAACATAGCTATTGAAAATGGCCATTTATAGTGAGTTTTCCCATGAAAAATGGTGATTTTCCATAGCTATTTTAAATTACCAGAGGGTAACATCCCAAATTCCAGCGGTACCATCCGTTCTTGAAAAAGGCCCAATGTGTCAAGCCACACCTGAACAGATCCCCTCGGTTATGACCCGGTCGCATGTCGGTCATTTCCCAACGCCCAGCCCTTCACTTAGTAGTTCTTTTTCCCCAGGATGTGCGTCCCAGAGTTTCCAGCAGGGTTATTGCTTGCTATTGCTTGTTATTGCTTGTTTCATCACATTGGTAAGTCCGGATTATCATGGCGATAATCGTGAGGAATCTTCGCAGTGTGACCATGTCTATTGGCCCAGAGTACAGATATGCGAAAACACCCCGTTACAGATACCGTTACTGAGTATACTGGCTCATCCCAAACACCCTCAGCTTTAGGCTCGCTCGAAAATTCCCGGACTGAGTGCGACCAGCGGGAGAAAAGCGAAGACCCAGCAACTGCCAATTCAATGCGCTCCCAGGGGCTGAGTTGACGTTGGGGCACTAAAGCAATCGCATTATTATAGTTGCAGGCACACCTCTTTCTAACTAGGTCCTTAGGTCTACTTGCTGCTCTTCTTGTTGGCTCAAGCATTGGAGAAACGGCCAAGGCCAGCAAATACAGGGGACTTAATCGCCGAAATCGGGATTTCAGCGGCCATGAGGGGATTCAATCAACGCGCATGAACACAATAGCAACAAACATGCCGGGGGTAAAACACCAATCTTGATTTCAACGCTCCTTTGGTTCATGAATGACGATTACTTTCCACACTTCCAACAAAGACAAAAAGCCGATGCCGACCTCTGGCAAAATCCATAGCCGTCCCACCTTGAGATAACCGATCCAGCCTCAAAAAAGGAATCCTCCAACACTCCGAAGGCGCGTGCAGCCCATATTTAGGGGCCAGAAGTGCCATGGCTCCAAGATCTGACAAGGTGCCGAGATCTGTCGAAGGTCACCTATGGGCCATAGCTTTAGAAAAGGATTTTTCTGTTGGAAATGGATCAAACTAGATGGATATGGATATTTTTTGGGTTTTCCGGGCTTCCCATGTGACATTTAGGGGCCAATCCATATCGCAGCATCTTCTTTCAGCTTTCGCGTTTTCTTTTGAGCCAAAAACCACTCTTGCCTATATGTTATATGACTGCAATTTTCAGGTGGCATCCTTTACACTGGGCTTATTTTCCAGCTGCGGGAGGTAGTGCGCCATATGGTTTTGTTTGAAAATAGGCGCAGTGCCCCAAATGCACTGATGAATCATCATATTTTTTGCCCCATTTTCCATTAAACTGGCAATTTATGGGTATCCCCAGGTTCAGACAAACCCTTTTTTGCGCCGAAAAAGGTTCTTGGTGGTCATGCCATTTGGAATCACAGGTTCTTGTCAGTGTCCCGATTATTGTCGCGCTGCGACTCCAAAAAAATCGGTTGCTTCTGTGTGCGTTCGTACCTGCAGGATCCATCTTGCTAGCAACTCGTGAACATAACCATGATGATAACCATTTTATAATTGCAAGCATACAGTTAGGGGTCATGAAATAGTGAATGTGGTAAACCCAACGCTATACACCTTCAATGAGGGCGATGGTTCAAGTTTATACAGTTTAAGCCATTTCTGTTGTAAGTCATAGAGGATGTTTATGGCATGGGGTTCACATTACCTGGGATGATCCTCCAAGCTCCTGATGACAGGCCAAAGATGCTGACGTCGATGGACGCCTTTTGATCGAGTCGAAGCCTCAACGCTGTCGCCGGGACTCCACGGCTCTACTGAGAGTTAAGATAGAAAATTCCAATGACTGCTTTTACTCCAGGGTTAATAATCCATAATTCTGGATTATCACTACAAACTGGTGGGTGGGTGGGTATAATGAGTCATTTGACTTTCAGACCCTTCGACCCATCCCCACATCGACTTGGATCTGGAGGCGGCTACTCCTCCCACCTGGCACGACGCTGTCCAGAGCTGCGACCACCGTGCGGGGATCCTCAAGTCAACCCCAGGGCCCAACACAGAAAAGCCGGACAACTGGAAAGTATGACAACTGGTTGCTCCAATCCATTGATAGGTAAATCCTAGCCACAAGGCTAATGGGGCAAAATTGGTAGGTTTGCCGTTTCCCCGCTATCTGGGTATGTTAGGAGCAACCCTGTACATTTAATCTGCAATTTTTCGCAACATCCTAAAGGCTGGAAATCAAAGCCGAGTAATAACTCGGCCTCAACTCTCCCATTTTGGCTGGTTTTCGACATTTGTAGCCATTTGGCACCCGGCCCAACCGCATGCCTATTGCTTTTTCGTGGGTTGCAACGGCATGAGAAGGTGATATCTATAATCTATAATAAGGCTTTGCTCACAACCACTCAAGAAACGTGGCTGGATGTCTTTTTCTGGAACCGCATCTTGTCTGCCACATCCACCTCCGTATTTTACTCAAGAGTGGTGCAGGAATGTGACCCCGGTGAGTTTCTTGACGCCCGATGGGGGCCCCATGGAAGATTATCATAATCACAGTTGGACCGGTTTGTACAACCCAACAACTAACCGCTAACCCATCAACCACCAGGGATGAAGTGTTCTAGTGCACAGCCGGGTTGCTTAGGCTCTTCTTTTTCATGCTCTACTGCTTTGAAGCGGCCTCAGACAATCAACGTTGGTGCAGATACAGGGAAATGCAAGAAACAAACTATTTTCCCATATTTTCCCAATAGCGATAGCTTGGAGTTGTTAACTCTAAAGGCGGACGGCGCTGTCGGGTTTCAAGGTGGTTTTTATTCGCGTCCTGCAATTTTGGTGACCTTTACAAGAGTTCCTCAATCTTCCATTTTTTGCAGGTGCATTTCAACTGTATGCATCCCCTTTGTGTTTTGCTGTTGTGGTCGTCAGCAGCCGCAACGTGCGGATTGACTTGTGCAGTCTTTTCCATGCACATATGTTGGGTTCACTTTTCCCTTTGGAACGTCCCCATTTCTTGCAGAGATCTTGCCCTTGCATGCAGATAGCTTGCAGAGAGCTGGTGCAGACATCTTATTTAGAGATTTCCAAGAGCGAACTTGCCAAGAGACCTCTCATAGAGACCTTGCACAGGGACAGCAATCTTGCCAACAGATCTTATAGAGACCTTGGACAGAGATCTTGCCAAGAGACATCACATAGAGACCTTGTATAGGAATCTTGTGAGGTCTCTTACGGCGATCTTGCCAAGAGATCTGTTCAACAAAGGTCTTGCCAAGAGACCACTTGCATGGATGTTGCGCAGGGACCCTGTATAGAGATCTGAGACAGAGATCTTGCGAAGAGGTCTTAAAGAGATCTTGCCAATTTAGAAATCTCTTGCAGAGATCCTGTGTGGCAGAAATCTTGCAGAGAGATCTCCTGAAACGATTTTGCCAAGCGACTCTCATAGAGACCTTGTACGGGGATCTTGCACAAAGGTCATGTACAGCGATTTTGGCGAGACACCTCTCATAGTGACTCTGTGGAGAGATGTAGTACAGAGACCACTGACAGAAACTGAGACATGCCAGAAATATCTTGACAAAGGGAACCTACACAGGATCTCTTCCACAGGACCTTCTACAGATATACAAAGGGATCTTGCCCAGGAGCTTCTACATAGATCCTGTCAAGGAGATCTTGCGCGCGATCATCTACAGGAACTTGCAGAATCTACCCTGGTATCTCTTCGTCATGATCTTTGCAGCACTGTTTGGGATCTCTTGCCGGGATATTTCTTTACGGGCAGCGCCATTGTCCCATGTTATGTTAGGTTCAACTTCGAGCTTGACACCAAAGCAGAAGGCCTCGGTCTCGTGGTGTTTCTCTGGTGTCTCGGTGGTGTCTCGGTGGTGTTTCTGTGGTGTCTCGGCGGTGTCTCGGTGGTGCCTTGGTGGTGTTTCTGTGGTGCCTTGGTGGTGTTTTGGTGGTGTCTTGCAGGAGTCATGCTGGCGTCTTGCAATTCGTTAGCGTTTATATGCGTTTAGCATGAATTGACATGAAAAGAAGCGTGAAACCTTGCTATTGGGGTTGTATGCTGGATTAATTAATATCATATATCATTTTTGAACACACATTTGATTAACGGGTCATCTTGTCACTCCGCATCTGAAGCTAATGTCCCAGGTCTGGACCAGTTGGTACATCGCTGTTGGAGGAGATACTTGTCGAAGTCAACGGGAAGCCGCTGCAGCGGAGATGTTGGAGGTGTGCTCAGGGGACCCGGTGAATGTTCAGATTGGGGTTGTAGAAGCAGGCTTTCAGAGGGGACTTCGATTTTTTTGATGTTGAAAGCTGGTATGGGAATGAATGGCAAGTAGAACAAGGGGATTGATTGCCCAACACTTTGCACAATTTGGTTCGCGGGGCACCTGGCGATGTCTTCCCATTTGGTGCTGCACCTCCACCTCACTGGGTTTAGAGGACGATTTTGATCAATTTGAGGGGGCCTCTGTGTCATTATGCGGATACATTATGCGGATAAATTGTGTTCCAAACAAAAATCACGATTCAAAAATATACAAAGATTGTACCTCCCTTTATGTTGTTTCATTTTGAATTCTCACAGCAGGTGGAGACATCTTCGAGAGATTCACCCACGCTGCAAAATGTGCCCAATGATTAGGCCTCAGCGGGAAAAAAATAACGAAAATAACAATGATAACAATACAATAATACAAAAATAAATGGAAACCAGAAAACATAAATTTAGGAGGAACACCGCAAAACATATATTTAATCGATACTCCGATACACTAAACCTTAAATAAAACAATTTTTATAATTACAACACATTTCAATATTTCCCCAACAGCGCAAACTAATGGGGTCTTCAGCCCAGAATAGCTCCGGTGTGCACTCGTGCAGGTGCCGGGTCAGGTTCAACGAGGTTCCGAGAAGGTTCCGAAGGTTCCGGAGAAGGTCGGGGAGGCTATGGTGCAGAGCCAGGTGAGGTTCAACAGGGTTCCGGAGAAGGTTCCGGAGAAGGTTCTGGGAGGCTTCGGTGCAGAGCCAGGTCAGGTTCAACAGGGTTCCGGAGAAGGTTCCGGAGACGGTTCCGGAGGCTTTGGTTCAGAGCCAGTCTTCAACCGGGTTGCGAAGAAGGTTCCGGAGATTTTGTGCAGAGCCAGGTCAGGTCCAACAGGGTTCCGAGAAGGTTCCGGAGAAGGTTCCGGGGAAGGTCTGGGAGGCTTTGGTGCAGGTTCAACAGGGTTCCGGAGAAGTATGCGGAGAAGATTCCGGGACGCTTTTTTGTGCAGAGTCAGGTCAGGTGCAACAGGGTTCCGGAGAAAATTCCGGAGAAGGTCTGGAAGGCTTTGGTGCAGAGCCAGGTCCGGTTCATTAGGGTGCCGGAGAACGTTCCGGAGAAGGTTTGGGAGGCTTTGGTGCAGAGTCAGGTCAAGTTTAGCAGGGTTGCGGAGAAGGTTCCGGAGATGGTTCTAGGAAGCGTTGGTGCAAAGCCAAGTCAGGTTCAAGAGGATTCTAGAAAAGGTTCGTGAAGAATTCAAAAAGGGTACTTTTCGTGCACGATCAAATTTGAGCAGGTCGAGAGAGTGAAGAGCTCAAAAGATATTTTCGTATACGATTAAATCTGAATACATGGAGAAAATGAAGAATTTAC